GGGCCGGCGGCGGCGCCGCGTGTTGCAGTGACGTCGGCTCTGTCTGTGCCTTCCAGAATTCTCAAACATCTCAGGAATGCTCGCTGGCGCGGGCTGCTGCCAAGCGCCTCCCCTGGCTCCGTTGCGCCTTTTTTTTTTTTTTTGGTCCGGGACCCAAGAAAACAATCTTCCGTTTTTCCACTTTAAATAACGACTGGTATAGGGGAGGGCTCTTTTGGGCGTGATGATGGTGGAAGGATGGGGAGTGGGGGTTGGGGGTGGGAGTGGGGGGCAGAGTTCAGAACTTTGTCTGGACTGGGAGGGTAGGAGGACCTGAGAGGGAGGAACAAAAGTCGTGTTGTTTGGTGATGCCGAGTTGACCGGGCAGCCCTGGAAACCCTCACCCGGGAAGGCGGTGAGCTGTTTGCTTGTTTACAGCGAAGGTGAGAGTCAAGTTATCTATTGAGAGAGGCCGAGGGGGGAGGGGGGTGTATCTCTGAGCCCGGCATCTACTTGTGGACTTCGTAGAGGCGACATGCTCGGGTAAAGTCCCTAAGCTTTGGCATGGTGTTTATTAGCAAAGTTAAGTGTGCTGCAAATTAATACCCGCAGTGTCATTTATGAATGAGAAGGTGGGGGTGGGGTGGGAATCAACTTCTCCCACGTCTGGCAAGGTTCCAAGCAGAGGTCTTCCCTCTTCCGCCCCCCTTGCCCTCCCTTTTTCGGTATGTCGTACTTGTTTGTTTTTGGAGGTTCCCACTTTAGTTCCAGCCCACTGCCTGGGGTTGCAGTCCGAGAGGAAATGAAGGCTGGGAGTTTTCCGGGCGGCTGGCTGACACTTCCTCGCGGATGCGGGAGCCGGGGCCGGCGCTTCCAGCCTCCCTCGGCGGGCGGGTGGCGATGCGCACTGAGCAGCCGGCCAAGCCCAAGTGGAGGGGACCACCGTGGAGTGATTTATACGGAGATCATCACCTGTATATGCTGGAAGGCCAAACCAGATTCCACCACCGTTGCGCCCAATGGGTCTCTGGAAAAAGCAGACTCCTTAAAAGCCGAAAGTCTTGCGGGATTTTTAATTCCTTTCCTTGGAACCACTTAGAAACCTCGCATTGCAAGGGAATTGCAATGCCTTTCTCTCCAAGCGCAGAGAAATAAGAGTTTAGGGTGTGATACTCTGCTATAAAAAGGTTAGCAGATTTAAAGACCCGATTTACCTGCAACGCACTCAGCAGAAGACCCGCCTGCCAAGCAATTACTTTAGCAGCGTCCACATCGTTAGTGTGATGGATAAACTTTCCCTCAAAGTTTCTAAAATACCTCCCTGTGCAATTTTAATAAAAACATGCACAAAAAATTATGTCAGTCTCCCCTTTATATGCGCTTTAGTAGAGCTGCCTGTCTCTTTTGCTCTTTTGTCCTTTTTCATGTTGAATGGAATTCAACCGTCTGGCTGAAGAAGGCCTTTTTTTCAGTGTTGACTTTTCTGTGACTGAAACGCACATGTGAAGCTATTGCAATGAAAACAACCTCCAATGAGGAGAATACCAGGGAGGAGTTAAGTTTCATTCATTCAGAAGTGCCTTCTCATAAGTCTGAGAGGCTTTTCCTAGGGGAAGCTGATCTCTAAGGCTTTTTGGAGGGGCGTGTCTCTTCAGGACAATACATTGTCAGGTGTTATGCAACTAAAGTGAGGAAAGTCTGGGCCCGGCATTGTACCCAGGTCAATCCATCAATTATTGTTTAGAAAAATGTTTTTTCCCGTGTTAGAGTTTTATTGCTGTTTCCTTCTTAATGAAGTGACTGGGACCAGAGTGAGTAGGGGCGGTACAGGGTGGAGGAGGTGGTGGAAAAGAGAATGGATGCAGAGGAGTGTCCCTGGCTTCTGTTGTGGTGTCTTTTCTATTTGACTTCATGGTTGTAAGTATTTCCAGATGGTGAATCAGACACCAGACGTAACAATATTTCCATATTTGGGTATAGCAGTAGCCTGCGTTTTTAACATTTTTCTGCCTGTTATCCAACCACAAAGCATTCTTGACAGCTTCAGATGTTGTTAAATATAGACTTAACTTCTGTTCCCAGAGCAGGAAATTCTTTGGAATTCCTTGTTTTCCACGCAATCTGTCTGTCATGATTTAAAATAAAATTTCAGTGGGTGATCCAACTGGCCTGTGCCTATACCTTGTTCCTTTATCGAAGAGGGGGTGGGGGCCGGGCAAAGAGATTCAGCGTGCTGCTTTGCGGGAGCTTTGCATTCAAGCACGCACCATTCCAGGGGTTCCTTTAAAAATCAGATTCAAGTTTTCTAACGCGGGTGTGTGTGTTTGTTTCCTCTTTAACTAGGGGATCTTGGAGGAGGATGTTCCATCAGAGGAGACACTCAGCTCACCTTACAGTCCCCTGCCTATGTAAAGCAGGACATGTGTTGTGGGAGGGGGTTTGGGGAGCGGTAACAAACACCTCCACCGGGAGGTGGAGGAGCTGAGCGACCCGAGTAACCTAGGTGCCCAGCCTTCCCATGGACTATGTCCCGGTGCGTCGCTAGTAAACCACGGCGCCAGGCGAGAGGAACAGCAGCTCCCCGGGTCCTGCTCAAGACCATCCAGACACCCCAGACGCCCGGTCGCCTTCTCGCTGCCTCTGCAGATCGGTTCGCGTTGACCGAAGGGAGGGGACGTGTACAAATGCTTGTTAGGTGTTGCAACGGTGCTAACGCTGCAGGGCTCTTTGGCTCTATTCCTCCGCCCCTCCCCAGAGGGGTGCCCCCCTCCCCCCCCCGGAATAAGGGGCCGCCTTGTGCTCTTGGGCCACCAAGCTCGGAGAAGGAGCTGCTTGCATTCCGCAGCTCCTGGCACCCCAGCTGCCAGAGAATTTTAGGTCACCCAAAGAAGGGTTCACTGTCTGGCGGCGATTGAGAATAATAATCACCTTAAACCTGGTGCCTCCGGTGTCCTAGCCCTGCACCAGTGGTTTTCAAAGGTATGCATCTGAGACTCCCCTGGAGAGGGGGTTAAAAGAGTGATTGCTGGGCCCCATCCCCGGACTTCTTCTGAGTTCCCTCTGTAACGAGTCCCTAGGCCCTGATGGCGGCTGGTGCGGGGAGCCACACACCGGGAACCACTGCCTGGGGCCACCTGGGACTCACCTGCACACCCGGCCTCACAGCCTCCAAGAGCAGGACACCTTCGGGCCCTGGTTCTCAACCTTCCTAATGCGGGGACCCTTTAATACAGTTCCTCATGCTGTGGTGACCCCCAACCATATTATTATTGTCGCTGCTACTTCATAACCGTAATTTTACTACTGTTATGAGTCGTAATGTAAATATCTGATATGCAGGATGTATTTTCATTGTTACAGATTGAACATAATGAAAGCATAGTGATTAATCACAAAACAATATGTAATTATATGTTTTCCAATGGTCTTAGGCGACCCCTGTGAAAGGGCTGTTGGACCTCCGAAGGGGTCACGACCCACAGGTTGAGAACCGCTGCCTTAGGGTGACTGCCGAAGGCCACTTGAAGGCGCCGCCCGCGCCTCGCTTTTTCTCTCCACACCCCTCCAACCCCCGCACCCCCGCTCAGTGGAGGGATGGCGGGGTCTTTAATGAAAGCAGTATCTTCACTAAAACATATCCTACAAACAACCTGAAGCACTTGGTAAAGGGTGTCAATGTGCATCTCAACAGATAGGGGGTAGCAGATGGGGTATCAGAAGCAATTTATACTCCTTTAGGACAGAAGCAGTACACACTCACTAACCAGCCTCAGAGCTATCACAAGAAAGTATAAAGAAGGCTAGATCTTATGAATAATGTACACAGCATTATTCCTGTCTCTTATATTGACAATACCAAAATCATTTTTTGAATTTTGAGTTGGTCAAAGCAAGAGAGAAGCCTGTACCTGCTTCAAACCATGTTTTGAATATATTGCAGCTCTAATTCAGATACACCACAGTAAATCCATTCTGAATGACAAGTTCTTCCTTTTACCTAACTCAAATTTATTGGACTTCTTTTATGATAATCAATAAAACTTGTTTGCTTGAATTGCCTCTTTGGAGAAGTTCCTAAGGCTCTGGTCCCACTATCCCTGGAAGGGAGAGACGCTGTTGCTGGCTCTTGGTTTCTCTTGGTCTCCCCTACCTTCCTCCTCTCTTCCTCATGAGTAAGTTCCTTTGGAAGGCGTGGGGGCGGGAGACTCTAGATAGGAAGCCCTAGCTCTGCCAGACTCTGGTCTTTGTAGCCTTCTGCAAGCTGCTCATCCTCTCTAGAACGACAGCAGGTAGTAACACTGGAGCAGCCCCTTTAGGGCTAAATCTCATGTCAACCTCTCCTCATGACAGAAGCAAACACGCATATGGCTCACTCTATGTCAGACACCGTTTGGAACGCCTACTGTGTATTTAATTCTCCAATGCCCCACTGAGGCAGAGCCTCCTGTCAATCAATATCTTTTCCTATTGTAAATGAAGACATGTAGGTAAGTAACTAGCTACCAGGCACTCACCTAGCAGGTAGCAGACCTGAACCAAGGCATCTTGGTTCCAGTGGGCCTTGCACTTAACCACTGTGCATACTGCCTACCCATCTCTTGCTTCAGACATCCAGGCTTGTCCCTTCTACTGGAACTTTTACCTTTATTTAACTCTATCACAGCATACCCAGATACTCCAGGATAAATGCATCAGATAGAAAAACAGTTGATATGTTAACTGAAGCTGTGCTAACCTCTGAGAATTGCCTAATAGACTGGGTTTTGGAGGAGGGGAGAGGGAGGTATGTTCTATTTTAACAGAAAAGGTCTGAACGCAAATAAGTTTACATAGTGGACTTTTTGGCACCTTGGCAGTCTGATAGGGAAGATATCAGATCTTTGAGGTCCTTCTGACATTTCACAAGCTACACTGACCTGGCAGTCCCTACTAGGCCTGTTGAGAACTGCATTTGTCACTGAGATAAGGTTTTCTATGTCACTTGATGGTCATCAGTCTGAGTGTGCCTTGTTGGTTGGACATGCTTTGAACCTGTTTTTTCCAACTATGAATACAGTTACATAGCTATCTGAGGACACATTATTTTTCCTCTCTGAAGCACAGATATATTGAGTTCACTGTGTGTCATTGCACTGTGTAAGCACTGGTGACATAAAAAAGAGGACTTTAACATTTTTTAAAATTTTAATTAAATCTTTATTGTTCAGATTATTACAGTTGTTCCTCTTTTTTCCCCCGCATAGCTCCCTTCCATCCGGTTGCCACCCCACCA